ACACACCCACCATACTATATTTAAATAGTAACACACTTTCAAATTAGCAATAAACATTATAAATATTTTATAGTTATAGGTAGGTAGTAGAATATAAAATAGACTAAAAAAATTTAAAAATTAAATAAAAAAATAACAATAATACCTAGATAAACTATAAATTGTTTTGCATTTTTTTTTTTTACAATAATAATACATTCAATCATAAGCAATGGTGATAAAAATAAAAATTTGTTATTGACATACATAAAGCAAATAATATTATATAGATTTATAATTATATTATTTTATAAATACTAAATAACTATAAATGGTATAATAGTAATAATAACAATAAAAATAACTATATTATATTAATAAATATATTTGGAACTAGTAAATACATTTGAATATTTACATGTGTATGGTAAACTAGGCATATATCTAATATCAAAGTACCAACTATGCACAAAAAATTAACACAATCCACTTACTTATATATTGGTCCAAAAATTTACAATATACTACCAATAGAAATTAAACACAGTAACTCTTAAGATTCTTAAAAAAAAAATTACACTTTGGCTATTACAAGAACAAAATATAGACAGACTCATAACAAACGTATAGGATTACAGCATTATTTATCATATTAGTATAAGACTTTAGTAATTATTATTAATTTTAGTTTTATATTACACTATTATATTGTATTATTTAACTACACAATTTTTTACATAATACTATATTATATAAACAAAGAGATGAAAATATATTATATTACTTATATTATTAATATTATAGTTAGGTATGTGAGAAATGTATGTTACAAATTGTAATTATTTAATTTATAAGAACTATTTAATGTATTTATATTTCAAATTGTGAACTCATGGGCCCCCACACGAACATGTTCAGTGGGGCCCATTATCTTGAAGATTAAATAAAAATAAAAAAAATAAAAAATACACAGAGCATATTGTACATGTATATTATACTTATTGATCACAATACTTGTATGTATAATACTATACATCACTATAATATAATATATATGCAGTGTTGGGTAAGTTACTTTTAAAAAGTAATTAAGTTACTTTATTCGTTACTCAAATAAAATTGTAATGAAATTACTTTACTTTTCGAATAGAAAAGTAGCTCATTACTTTCTCGTTACAAAAAAAAAAAATTTAATTTCTTGGCAATTATCTTATGCAAGCAAATTGAACAAGCAAATTCTTTATAAAACCTATATAGTTAATAGGATCGTATAAAATTTAGTCTTCCACACATGCTAATAGGAAACCTATTTAAAGGAATAAAATTAAATAATAAATTTAATTAACTGTTTTCGTGATTTGTATGGTGTAATTAGACATTTCAAATGTCAAAACCATTGAAAACTGAATTGTGGCGAGTTAAAATCAAATATATTTACATATTAATTAGATTGGTTAACATACTAATACCTGCATTATACATAAATCTATAACATAACATTACTTGAGTTGATAACCATTAGTGTTTTGACTAAATTAGTGAACAAATTCAAGTTTTACTAACAAACTGATTTTTAGATGCTGAATTTTCTATTATCATTGTATCTACATAATCGAGTTGTGTCTAATCTTTCAACGGAAAGTATGATCTAATATTAATATTTGTATCATCTGATGAGGATGTCATAGGAGCAAAACATCGATTAAGTATGTGGCGTATTTGTATCATGGCAATAAGCATTTGATTGATCTTAATTTCCATGAGACAGCTATTTTCCACCAAAACCTTTAAATCTTTTTGTCGAATTGTAGCAATATTTGATGAATTGTTCATGCGAGTGTTCATGTGACCATTTTCTAAAAATATTTTTCAAATGTTTTATTATTATAGATTACAAACAACAAAATATTGATTTACCATTTCTGACTATATTCTCTTAACTTTGCTCCATATTTTGCTGTGATTGTTCAGTTGGCAAGAAAACAGCAGGCGTGTTCTCTAATACAATAAAAATAATTACTTATACTATGTGAAAAATATGTAATAATATGATTTACTTACCATCTATTTGATTGCTTTCTGACTGAGCAGAGCTTAGAAACACTTCACCATTTATATTTTCAAGAAAGGTATCTGTAATATCTGTTATTATAATCACAATTTTTAAGAACATACTGGAGTACAAGTATTTTAATATTATAATAGTTACCATAGGATTCTTCAACTAAATCAGGGCTTTTCTGAAATATGTCTAATCTATCATTGTAGCTAAAATTATTTTCTCCTAAAAAATCAAAATAATTAAGAAACAAAAACATTATGACTTAAGTGTTATATTAAAATTTAAAATATGTTAAATAATATTATAATAATTACTTGAATACCTAATTATATTAGTAAAATTCTAAATTACCGTATTTTAACTGTTTTGATCTAAACCCACTGTTATTGCTGATATGTTTTTAAATATTTGGCAAAGTTATATTATTAAGTGCATAGCAATAATCATTTTCTACAGACAAACTACTATCCTCGTTAATATCTGAACATAAATTAGGAGAATGAGCATTAAAATTATCTAATTGTATATTACAAAAATTTCAGAATTTGTGTCTTAGACTCGATCTTTGATTACTTTATTAACACTACTTGGAACATTGTGTTCCAAAAGATTTAAGTTGTTTTGATCAACTCTGTTCACTTCTTATTGAATATGTCGACAAAGTTGCCTCTTAGATAAATCGTTTAAACTTTTATGCTTATGAAAATTTGCCCTACAAAGGAAACTGTAAGTTAACATAAAAGACTAAATACTGTAGATATATTATATGAATTACTTTAGTAAATAGGTAAGTTTGGTGTTAAAATACACCATTTGGTGTTTAAACACACATTTTATTGAATAACAAATAGTTAATTACCTGTTGTCTATGTTGGAAGTTGAAACAAAATGAGCAATGAGATTTAGTTTTTCCAATCCACAGACCCATCGTTCCATCTGTATTTACCAGTACTCATCAGCTCTACTCCACCCTGCAATTTAAATATTATTAAATCGTTCTTAATAAACACTAAAATTAATGTTCATATACATTTTAAGATTTTGAGTGGAAGGATTGGTTGTGTTTTATTTTTCGCAGTTTCTGGAAACAAATTGGAGTTTGTAAACTTTCTATAAAAATAGTTAAAAGAAAAAAAAATTAAGGGTTTGTTACGAGTTAGTGCTGTCAATTTTGTACATATAGATATATAAATAAAGATAAGTCGCCTAGGTATATATAATATAAAACATCTTATATTATATATATTATGAAACTTGATGGTATGAACATTATCTGTGTTTGTATGTGAGTTTTTTTACGATAGTTCAATTTATTAAGTGAGTTATGAGCATTTTTAATTGGGGAAGTCTAATTTACTGACCCAGATTTTGCTGACCGGAACAAAATTTCCCGACCCGGGTTCCTCGTTCCCCGACCGGGTTGAAATTTGTAAGGGACATACTTAGGAACGTAATCAATTATGTGTCCAAAGTTCAGCTGCCTACCACCATTACCCTCCCTACAGGGTGAAAAAATTATTAAAAAAATGTCGTTTTTTTCTCCGACCCGGAGAAAAAAGATTTTTTTTTAGCTCCGACCCGGAGCTTATAATGATGTACGACGAGAAAATATGTTTAGATTATTATAAATTATAATATTGCTAATTAATTAGGTATATCACATAATTCGAGACTAAATAATTTTCACGAGCAATATAAATATTATTTTACCAACAACACACAACACACAACACGCGAACACTGATACCATAATCACAGTATCACCATAGAACATCGAGATGGATAAACAATACAGGAGCGCTCTCTTACCAATATCGTCCGTGAGACGAAATCGAGCCATGTCTTGAACGTTACCCCCACCTCTGCAGGGCAAAAAAAATAGCCGCAAACTTGCGAACGTCCTAGAGAACATAAACGCCTCATAATAATTTAAGTACTTCCACTCGTCCGATTTTAAAAATTAAAAACTATTTGTACTTGTTAACAAGTATACTTTACAGCGATATAGTTTTAAACAGAAAAATAAAAATAAATAGCTGCACAAATGACAAAAGTATAAAACGAATAATATAGACATTTATCGTGTTTACAGCTAACCAGTTACCTTTAAACATAAGCAATAATATTATAATCCAAATTTTATAGAATATAAATAATTTAATCAGTCATTCAGTCATCCATTTAAATTAAAATTAATAGTTAATACCATATATACCATATTGTATTGAAATAAGTACAACAATATTCCAAAATTTAACTTTTTAAGTAGGTACTTATTACTATATAATAAATAATTAATTTGGAATATAATATTGTAATAGGTGATGTAGGAAATGGGAAACAATAAATACAAATTCAACAAAAAAAAGAAGAAGAAATAAGATATGTTTATAACATTTATTTGTTTTAAACCAATACAAATACAATATAATATTTATACAATTTAAAAACATTAGAACAAATAGAATATCTTTATAAAATTTACTGAAATGATGGTTCACCTTTTTGCTGTAAGTATTCAATTGCATCTGCTACTCCACTGCTGATTGTCTGGGCAGCTAACTTCACTTTCATAATAGAATTTTTGTAATTAATATGTTGTGAACTTAATTTATTAGCAAATTTTAAGCCAAGTTCATTTTGAAATGCATTTAGAGAGCTTATGTACTGCCATTTAATATCACCAATATTAGATTGAATAATTTGTTTATCAGCCAAAGAAGATCTAGCAAGTTTAAGCATATGACAAGTATCAAAAATAGAATATACTTCAATTGATCTATTTGCATTATTTACAGTAAATTTTGTGTTCAAACTATGCGTCTCAAAATTACAGCCTAATTTTTTGAAGCTTTGTAAATTAGAAGGAGCACCATCGCAAGTTCCATTCCATACTTGTATTCCAACCTCATAAAGTTTAATAATAGCAGTAGATATTAAGGTACTTACAACACTACTGTTAATTTTGTTGACATAAAAAAAACCATTTAAACTGTCTAGTTAAGCTAACTATCATTAATACTAAAGCTTCAGTTGCTAATTCAGAATTTTCACCAGTACCAAAATCAACATTTCCTGCATATCTACCTTTATCTGGTTCCCAAACTAGTTGCTTTCTTAAAGACATTGAATCATGAACAAGTGAACAATCTTGAAGCCAAGAATTTTTAGAAACTTCTTGTTTCAAAAACAAAAGTACTTCTTCCAAGAAGCCAGGTTCACATTCTATACTACTTAACCATTTTCTAATAGTTGAAGGATGCGGTAGAGTGAACATTTTGCGTATATATTTATAAGCTTTAGGTGAATAAAAAATAGGGTTTTAGCAAAGTCTTTCATAGCATTTTTATAGCGAACACCCTTCTTATGAAGCATTTTAGACTTATGTTCATGCAGTAATAACGTTAATGGAAACCCACCTACATTTTCTTCCAGCATTTACTCCATCAGAATATGTAACATTTTTTTTTATTCTTAGAATCAGATCTAAAAACAAATCTTGATTAAAAAATCTAAAATATATAGTTATACATGTATATAGTTAAAACTACCTTTCAATGATTTAATTTTACTATTTCTTCTTTTCAATCGTTGTTGTAATATCTTAATCTTGTTTTGGTACAATTTTTTATTAAAAGTTTTAATATTACACTGTACCATTTTATCTTCCTTTTGGTGAGATGTTTCACTCTGGTAAAACTACGAACATTAGATATTAAACAACAGATAATTATTCATTACCATTTACCAGATAAGAGCTTATTAATATGAGTATTAACTTAAAATCAAAATAAATTATAAATTAAACAATTTGATAATACCATGGTATTGGTGGATGAATCTTCGCCAGCTTCATTAACTATTTCTGCATGAATCATATTATTTTGATCATTGGCCTATAATAAATTTAATAAATTAGTATACATTATTAATTATACTTAAGTAGGTATTTGAGTACACATAATAAAATAAAAATAAAAACACTGCTTTTAAGCAATTGAAAAAAATATATATTTAAGTAGGTAGTAAATAATATTATTATAGGTACACTAAAATATATTATATAGTAGGTATGTAAATTAATTGGAAAATTAGTAGCTGTAAAAATAATACAGTACATAACATAATACTAGTATCTATAATATTATAATATATTATAAATTGTATGTATTGTGTAAGTAGATATTTTTAAACTACAATTAAATTTTTAAAAATAGACTAACCTTTTGACGATTTTGAAGTAGTGGACGACTAGCTTTTTGTTTTTTTTGTAAATGCTGAGGAAATTTAAAGACTGATGGAACTGCTTCATCTTTTAGCAACTTCTTATCTAACTCTGGACGAGATTCATTTAAATAATCACTAGGTGTGAAATGTTCACTGCATAAATAGCTGTACTGGTTGGGTGTAAAATTTTTTCGTCGCATTTCATGTAACCATTTTTTTAAAACGTCTGGTCTTTTTAGAGGAAATCTAGAATTATAAAGTGTGTTCATTGAAAATTATGAGACGAGATTTTGATTTTTGATAGAAATATTCAAATATGTATTACACTTACCGATGGAAATGTATCCCGTTTTCTTTCTGTCGCCTATTTGTGCACCCATACCCTGAACATGATACAACCATATTATTATTTATAATAATTACTTATGGGTTTTAATTTTTAACTTGAACGAAATTCCGATGTATCGTAATATTGTACGAATCGTAATAACTATATTATATTATTATATTAATTATTAATTAATAATTAATAATATTAAATCACTATAAAAAGGTTAGGTTAGAATGTAAACTGATATTTTCTTGCCCTGCAGTGGTGGCCGGTGGGGGAAGCGTTTAAAAATTTGGCTCGTTTTCAGTATCAGTGTACGCGCTCCAGTATTGTTTATCTATCTCGATGCCATAGAACAATAACTTTTCACACCGCCATAATTCATGGTGTAGAGAGTTGGGGAGTTGTCAAAAAATTGATAAGAGATTTTTTTCCGACTCGGTTTGCCAACGTTTGATAACAAACTGTTTGTACAGGCCATAGATCATAATATATCTCATTATTGTGCAATGTGCAATATTATTGATCTTGTAGGGCCTGTAGGGGCCTTTTTTCTTGTTGTGAAATTTATGATTTATAATTTAAAATTTATGATTTTTAGTTATAATGATTCTCTTTTTTTTTAATGGAAAATGCATTAATTTTTCAGTTCAAGATGTAGGTGAAGCACCGAATGTTGTTGCTGACAGTTATAGATTACTGTCTATATTTTTTACATAGCCTAGCAAAAGAACATTGAGTAACATACTTAGTAGTGTACATATTGGCCTGGGAATTTCCTCTGTGGTAATGAATGATCTTAAAGAGAATATTAAAAAACTGAAACCATGATAAAGAAGTCTTTATCATGACTGAAACCAATGGAGCGGTAAGTTGCAAGTACCTATTCAAATTTGAAAAACAATTTTTAATTTATACTTTTTTTAGGTACCTACTGTTATCTAATATTTGATGAAATCACATTGAGTAGCGGATTTCATTACAATGGGTTAACTAATGAAATAGATGGTTTTGTAAATTCGGATCATTATAGAAGCCAAGAACTAGCAGATGTGAACTAGCCAGTGTCGTTTTCATTTTGCCAGGGTGCTACTAAACAGCACGAGTTAGTGAGGCAGCTTAAAGAAGTTAGTTAAACATTTAATTAAATAATTAAATTTGTTATACTTTATTTGTTGTACATTTGTTATCAAAGGTTATACAGAAATTACACGAGACGGATCTTAAGATGTTGATGAATGATGATAGCTGATAGTTATAAATTAAAATAATAGCCGTGGATAATGTAAATAGGTATTTTGTACTGTGAAAAATAGATCAAATTTTGATTTAGAACATTTAGTTTTGGACCCTCTTACAGTTTGCAAAGCAAGTTTTGCACGGTCAGCCGACATTTCATTTTTTATTATATTGATTAATGTCCATAATAGTTAAATATAATTAATAATTTAGTCTAATATAATAGTTTTTAATGTTTTTATAATTGTTTGTGTTTTGTGTAATACAACTTTTAAGTACTAAGTAGGTACCATGTAGATAGGTAGGTAGGTAGGTAGGTAGGTACCTAATACCTTTTTTTTTTTTTTTTTTTATTAAAAATATATTACAATCTGTTTACACATAAAACAATAAGTAACAATGATGATAGTGATTAAAGAAGACATGAAGAGGAGACTGTCCAGTGACAGAACCTCAGAAAATTTGAGTTCGGGCATTGAAATTTATTTTATTATTTTATTTTTAATTTTAGATTTAGATTAGAAGGTCTCTAGCCCAATTTCTTTTTAATCCTCGAGGAATATTAAGAGGTAGTGTGAGAGAAGACATGTTTTTGATAAAGGGGTTAGAATGGTTAATTAATTTGGAATGGAATTTTTTATAGTAGTTTTTAGCAAGTTCATTTACTGTTGGAAGTTTTAAGTCGTTATGTAGAGCTGAATTTGTGATATACCACGGAGCACCGGTTAAGAGTCTTAATGAGATGGATTGAAAGGCTTGGATGGGACGGATGTTAGCAGGTTTCGCTGGGCCCCATATTTGAATACCATAGGTCCATATTGGTCTTATGATAGATTTGTAAATTAAAATTTTATTTTTGAGATTTATTTTTGATTTTAGAAGAGGTCGGAGTAAATGGAGGCGGGAGTTGAGTTGTTTACGTTTATTTTTTGTATGATTTGCCCAGGTTAGCCTTTTGTCTAGAGTGATACCTAGGTATTTAGTTGATTGATGAAGAGGAATTGGTTTGTTATTAAATTTGAGTGAGGGACATTCTTTTTTCTTAAGGGAAAAATTAACCTGAGCGGATTTATTGTCATTAATTTTAATTTTCCAGTTATTTGCCCAAGACTCAATTAAATTTAAGTGCAATTGTAAGTTGTGTGAAGCGGTGTCTGAGTCATTATTACCTAATACCTATAATAGTATAATATTGTGATAGATTATTATTATTATTACTATCACTATTATTATTAAAGATTAATAACGTTTAATGTTGTTAATTGAAAGTAATATTGTTATTTAAGCAATTATATAATTAAAGAGAATGTTTATTAAAGATTAATGGTAATAAAGTTGCATTTCTTACAATATATTATCTAATATGCGTCAGATTGTGTCTAGGTATAAATGTTAAAATGTCTATATTTCCATAATAAAATGTAAAAAAAGGTAGGTAGGTACTTGATCACAACAACACTGTTCGACTGTTCTATAAAACAAAACAGTTTAGTTACTACTTACTATGCATTATGCAATACAATAAGTACAAATCACCAAGAAATTAAACAATTAAATACAAAATTAGAAGGAATAGATGACAGTTATTATAAAAATAAAATCAATCAACTGTGTAATGAAAATAACAAATACGTAAGCAATTTTGTTTGGTTTATTATATCATTGACTATTTTTTCTCTATTGAAAATTCTGTGTTAAGTATTTGTGCAATATTTTCTTTTTGATATAATTTTAATTGCACAAAGCAATGTACATTTCAAAATACATAATATAACGAGGATTGCTTTACACAAAATGGTTGTATTATTTGGCTCACGGCTCTGCCGGGCGATGTGGATAAAGGTAAATTCACACATGTCCGGTCCGTTACCGTACTGTCCGTTCAGTGATACTATTGTCAGATGGCAGGTAATTCACACAGTTCGTGTTTCGGTCCGTCCGGTATTCCATTTTGTGCACTAGGTTTGATTTACGAATTTCATGTTCGCTCAGTGACAAACAGAACTCGTGTTAGAGCGTTTTCATAACCTATTTTTTAATATGGACAATTTAGAAGTAGAGCTTTCCAAATACCATCTTTGTATGCACTGTATATATTTAGCATGTGATAAATCGTAAAGCACTTTGTGCTCTCCTACAGCTTCAATCAACTTTTCGTTGTTTATTTTCGTCGTTTATTCAAAAATACAAGTTATAACAACTGTTTATGAACTATTGAACTATAGAGTTGCTAAAGTTCATAAGATTTTGGTGCATTTCATTTTGGATCGATCTGATCAAAATCAGTATTGACCTGTAGGTACTTGCAATCTGCATGTACCGAAAAATGAAAATACGGAACGGACACGGAAACGATAACATTAAATATTAGTCATACAATGTCAAAATGTCGAACACTGAACGGACGGTACGGATACGGACCGGACATGTGTGAACAATCTGCGACGACGGCATTACGGCAAATGGCAATATTGTCTTATATTGTATGGTTGATATCGGCGGCGTCAACGCTACAGTGGTCGTGGTGTGTCCAAATACGGCGGCGGCGAATATTATTGTTGAACCGACACGATCTCGCGCGCGGCGTGTAGGTAGGTAATCATTATTTACGACATCATTCGGGCGGCGGCGGGGACGGTGACCCGACGCACTAAAGACCGTAATTTTGTTCCGTGGCAAAAAAGGTTAGGTACGCGGCGGTAACGATATTCGGGCGGCGGCTACGCGGGCTTGACGCTCTCGAACTGCGGCGGTACAATACTACATGAACATGATACCACAGAATTCTGTGATGACACTACGTAGGTACTTATGATATCGTTCTGTGGGTAACGATCACGATTAAAGATATACCTTTAATATCTATAATATCTTTAATCGTGGTAACGATCACGGTTAATATAACCGTGGGTAACGATGTGCACATTTTTAGATAACACGACGACGACGACAATTTATATTCGGGCTGTGGCTCGGCGGCGGCAAATAACGGTCGATCTGCACTGTTTGGGCCCCAGATACAGATGACTAAGACAATGGGTGCTCGTCGGGCGGCGGCTGCAAGGGCTCATCGGGCGGCGACGTTAGTACGCTCTAAACCGCACTGTTTTGGACCCACGCTGTAAGCGGATCCCGGATACTGTGTCGAGTTAAAAAGCAGCGGACACGGGTCGGACGGCGGCGGCTCGACGTTCACGATGGGGACGGCGACGTTAAACGGCACTTGTCCGTACCGTCTGGCCCCAGATACGGAGAAGGCGACGATGGCTCTTAACTGCACTGTTTGGACCCAGTGGTTGCGCCCCGGGCACAGTGAAGAGTGGAAAAAAAACGGCACACTGGTACGGACGGCTCGGCGTATCGAATGGCGGCTTTTTATAAATATGTAACTGTATATACCTATTAGTTATTTATTATTAACATTTTTTTTTATAGTTAACTGTTATTAACGCCATTGATTATATTATACTAATATATAAATTGCTCACATACAAGGTTTACATGACTGTGGTTGTTGTTTCAATTATTAGAAGGTGCATTTATTTTTTAATAATAACATTTTTATGTTTCAGTTGCTTAAAGACTTCTGTTACATCTATCCACAAAATAAAGAAAGCTTAATCAAAAATTTTCCGGTTTACAAATCAAAAATATTACAGTTAGCTAAAACAGCATCAACTACCTACATTAAGAGATACCACACTCAAGGATATCATTAAAGAGTCCTTAGATTTAGCCTCAGGTACCTTATTTTATATTAATATATCTGTTAATAGTTTTGTTCTAATTATATTATACACATGAATTATGCGTGTATGTATAATATTTTCAA